TGAAATTGCATGTATCGGTTTTGAAGCAGGAACAAAAGCTGAATTTTTTAACCTTTTTTCAACAATCTCACACTATCTCAACCATCTTACTATATAGTTAAGCTTCATAAAAAGATTATTTTTCCCTTGCTGGATGAATTACCATTCAATGTGATGTTCTAGCAAAAAATGTACAACCTTTTTAATCTACATTAATAACCAATAGATTGTTCAAATTTGATGCAGCACCCCTAATTTGAAATGACATGACTTCATAGATACATTAGCAAAATCTTATAATCAGAGTTTTAGATTTTTCTTTGCAAAAAAAAAGAATGAATCATGCATATTTATCATAGTTTTAAAATGCAGGACCTACAAATCATAGATTCTCTATTTCAAGAAAATTAGAAATACACATTACATGCTCTCGTTTAAGTACAAACATATCGAAACTGGGTTAACTGAATTCAACGAACTCATTTAAAACTCAAGCTAACCCAGGTTAGCACCAAATATAGGGAGAAAAATCAGGTCATACAAGCAATCAAATTCACAAGCGAATAAAATTAGATACACCTTTACAAATAACATTATCAAAATTATCTTAAGTTGATAAAATCAGAACGAACAAATTTCCTTCACTCCTTAAGTTTTAATATTATCATATCCTATTCTCATTAAAAAAGAACAATATATCTGTTTCTAGGTGCCTAACACATGTATGTTTTATCATTGCAAAACACATTTTTTCTAGCTATAACTTTAGAATTTGATTTCTGATTTTTTGACACTATCACAATTACATGATTATCATATATGTAGATGTAATTTGTATGTAAGTAAGCAATTTCAATCACAACAAAAAAAACAGATCGCGGTGAATGAAATCTAGCTTCCATTGGTATGTATAAAACACAGTGAATGAAAAAAAATCTTGTAACGGAAGAGAAAACAACTAAAATAGCATATGAGGGTGCAGGGTGGTTATCCCTACTTAATTATAATTAAAGTATATAAAAGGTTGAGAAAGCCTCACAGACGATGCATCGATTGTAGTAGAGGAAAACAAGACCAAGGCTGGAAGGTTGGAGCTACTTTTTATTCTAAATACCTCATCCGTCTGTACAAGTCCTTAATGACTAAAGCTTCACATGAAATACAAATTCTAGATTTTGTTCCATATGAGCAGTTACATAAGAGCACCTATGCACTTGTCTAAGCATATCCAAACTTAAGTAAACTATATGCCAGAAAGGTTTACTACTATATATGCCATGCACTGGTTTCACTTATATTCTTATGTTTAGGGGACAACATTACTTATTTTCTTCTTGCTACTATATCTTTAAAGAAAGTCTTATAATTCATACTGTTGCCCTTACTACGTATAAGAAACTGCAGTAGTATTGAAAATTTATTTAAAAGTAGACTCCATAGCTAAAATTATACTTCAAAAATAAATTCTGAAAACAATCTCTCAAGCCTAAAAAGATTTTAAAAAGTACATAGAAGATGAAATTAGTCTATGAAAGATAGAACTATGAAAACGATACTAAAGGAGTGTCTAATTAAATTGCATGTATCGATTTTGAAGCAGGAACAAAAGCAATTTCAAAGTCGTAAGAAGTATGGTTAAGTAGTGAAATTCTATAGCTAAAAGACATTAGAAGAAGCTTTAAGAGAGTTTCAAAGTCCAGTGTTATGAAAACTGAACAAGATGCTACACACCCCCTGTCTGGAAAACAATATATATTATCGGGTAATATTATATGGCGAGCTAATTGTTCCCGGACAGGAAGTTATTTCCTGCTGAAATGATACTGTTCGAGCAAAACAAACCAAATCCATTCCCCAAAACTGGGTATCAAGTTTGTTACGACTTTAAATGTCAGCCACACAGGTGAGTGAAATAAATTTTTGGTTTAAAATTGCTATCATTTAAGGTATTTTTTTGAAATAAATTTTTGGTTCACAATAAATAAATTTGTGTTTAATTTTCCGGCTTCCTAAGTTGTTTATTTGCTTTGAATGCTAAGAAACATTAAGAAATGTAAAAGAAAATTACACACTTAATCATATTACATTTCCTGAGGTATGACAAAACATGTGAACATCGTTTTGAGGCATTTAAAAAAGAACTGCTTTTTTCTGGGGGGGGGGTGGTGGTGGAAACTGGTGTATTGACTCTTTAACTGGTTGAGGTTGTTTCTTAAACAAAAAATTTTGATCCTCTAATAATCGCTACATATTTCCCCTATTATTTTTGACTTGTGATATTTGATCCTTTGAAGTTGGTGTGGTTCATACCATCCTAAGCCTCCGAATTACAAATTTTTAATCAATATTTGTCAACTCTTATATTTTGTTATTTCAAATTAAAGGTCACCATTAACACATGTATTTACTTGAGACGTATGAGCACTCTCATCCTTTCTACCTCATATCAAAGAGTTCCTTTACAACAAAGAAGTAAGATAGGAGCTGCCAACAATCATCATGAGATTGAGGAGGCAGCAAGTTTTGCCGCAGCAATAGTAAGAGCTCAGGTATGCTCACATTCAGTATGCTAATGTTTTATTTGTTTTATGTCTAGTCTGTTTAACATAAGCTGAATTACTTTATAAAAATTATAAGATCAATAAAGAGAAAATGGAGTTCCAAACCAAGGATACCATCATAGAGATATATGGCAATGCAGTTAGTGAAGAAATGCTGCCAAGAGAACTTCTATTGGGTCAAAGTGAGAAGGAAGTTGATCGAATATGACCAAGCGGACAGGATCGTTAAAGGACGGGTAATTTATATAAAACGATTTTTGTAAGGAAGGGAGTGAACTAAAATATTCCAATGTTTCTTCGAGAGTGTAATCTCTTTTAGTTCTAAAAAGATATAACTATTGTTTTTGTCTTGCAGGAGATGTCACTTCCAAGGAGCAAATATGAAAAGGATGTTTAGATAAATAATCACACTAAGTTTGAATTAGATATGGTTAACTTGGTTTGAAAATCAGAAATACGCATTACATGTTCTCATTTAAGTACAAACATATCGAAACTTGGTTAACTTAATTCAGCGAACTCATTTAAAACTCAAGCTAACCCAGGTGACCACCAAATATAGGGAGAAAAATCAGGTCATACAAGCAATCAAATTCACAAACTAATAAAATTAGATACACCTTTAGAAATAACATTATCAAAGAGATCTTAACTTGATAAACTCAGAACGAACTGAAGCTGCATTTTTTTATATCATCTTTTTCCTTCACTCTTTAAGTTTTAATATTATCATATCCTATTCTCATTAAAAAAATAACAGTATATCTGTTTCAAGGTGCCTAACACATGTATGCTTTATCATCGCAAAACACATTTATTTCTAGCTATAACTTTGAATTTGATTTCCAACAATATGCCTAAAAATTCAAGCCAAAACAGTTTAAAGGGGAAATTACACAATTGGAAGATGGAATCATCAACCCACCCAAACTAATGCCATAAAAAATTTATGGGAGCAAGAATAGCACAGACACAGAGGAGTTAGGGAGGCGGTAAAATTGAAATTAGGGAAACACACATAAATCTTCACGGACAGGGAAGTAAGTACACGAAGGCGCATGTATGAGCAGAGATGCGGAGAACAATGTAAATTGCTTGAATAAAGGAAAAATTTACCGGAGTAGTAGAACAATAGAGAATCCGAAAATCTGCTGAACAACTGGGACAAATTATTTATAATCCATAACCTGACCTTTGAGTAAGTAAACTGATCTTCCGACACCATTACTATGTAGGCTAGAATGTGGAGAGGCTGAAACGGAAGAGGGGAGCTGAGGGGTTTAATCGATGCAGGAAAGAAAAGAAAATACTTCGTATACTGGAAGCTGCAATAGGTTTTATCGAGGTAGTACAAGACCTGATTTATTTCCTCCGTAAGTATACACGGCATTGAACCCTCCGTTAGTAACCTAAGCTTGGATAGATTAACATAGTACAACAAAATAAACATAAAGTACAATCACATCATACATGTAGAGAACCACATTTTTTTCATGACCGTTAAACTCCTAACAAAATTCCCTCTTATAATATGGTATAGAGATTTGTACTATTTTATTATTGTTCTATATTTGTATGATATGTTTCGGTCTGGGATTGAAATCAATCCAATTAAAACGATAACAATTTTCGATAATTTGGAAGGAATATTATTATTTTTAATTATAAATGAGTAAAGTATAATTATTTATAGATTATAATATATATAAAAAATAAAATCTTTATGCAAAAAATATAAAAAATAAAATTTCAGACTAGACAAGACCAGACCAGTCCAGAACAAACCAGATCAGACCGGACCAAATTACAGCCGTTAAAAACTAAGGATGGCAACGGGGCGGATCGGGGACGGTTTTGCATATAACCATACCCGCCCCGTTTGGTAATTCCCCCGCCCCATAACCGCCCCATTACCCAACGGGTAATTTTTACCCAAACCATAACCGCCCCAACGGGTAACGGGTATAACCGCGGGTAACCACTAGTAATCATTTTATTAAATGAATCATTGATATTTTAATATAAAAATAATATTTTAAAAGGAGACGCCAATTTAAAGTTTTGTATATCTGCAAGATAAGAAAGAAGACATCTAAATTAATTTGAACCTAAAAAACTTAATCTAAGAAATAATTAATCACGAAAAATGTGATAATAATCAAATAAGAATATTAAGATCTATTATGAACTTTCATTCATACACTATAACACATCTATTATCCATATATACACAATGAAAATAGAAAAATCTCATCTTTTATTAGTTGTGGAACAAATGATAGATGAGAATGTAATAAAAATATAATTTAAAACAAACTGGGCGGGTACGGAGCGGGTAATAGAACGGGTATGTATAAAACCGTAAATACCCCGTTACCCGTAAAACCAAAACGGGTATTTCCCACCCGTACCCGTTACTGGGTCAATGCGGTTTTCCCGTTTTGACCGGGGCTGTTGAGTGGGGTATCCATCCCATCTGTCACAATTGCAACAATTGCAGTAAAAACATCCAATGTAATACCGGATCCGGAGTACTGCCTCAAGCTGAAAACGAATCGCAGATAGCACCACAGTTCTGTAGGATTGTTTTTCACTGAGTTGCAAATTCCGGACTATGAGAGGAACAAAGCGATTCGCCGCATCCGAGTCGAGCTTTTTAACCAGCAATATAGTCAGTTCGATTTTCTGCATCTCTTCCGCGCTTCGAATTGATGTCTAACTTTTGCCTTTTCAATTGTGTTACCATATGCGTTTGATGTTTTTTGGTTGAGATTTATGAATGGATGGAGAGGGAGACAGATGCTGGATGGAAGGTTTCTAGCTTAGATATAATGTGATTTTCTGAAATTATAATGTGACAGTATTCATAAAAATCTAAATACGGTAAATAACTTGCAAAGGCAGGGTTATTGTCTTTAGCTTGGACTCAGATTCAGATCATAGTTTCATAGTCTTTTGCGAATTTGTGCAATTCTTAATGAAGTTCCTATATGTACTCTTGTATTCCTTTGCATCTGTGATTAATTTTAGGTAGAAATGAGTTCCCAATGAGCCTGTAGTTTTCTTATAAGAGTTATGCATAGTAAAACTAAATCCAGGATTTTAGCCATGGCTGTAATGGTTTCAACTCCTGAAATGAGTTTTTAATCTTAAAGAGTTAAAGTTGTAATTTTTCTTTATAAAATACTGTAGCTATTTAATGATATCTATTTGTGGATGGCGGATGTGGCTTTGTTAGTAGATTGCTTTTCCCTTTTTTATTTTCGTAGCTATCAAATTCATGTGCAGAACCAAAACAAAAGACTTTTGGGTGGGTCACTTTTTGATTCTCAAAGGGCGGAGCCACCCCAGCAGCTGTCAGGTTCTACTCCACAGTTGGACATGTACCGGGCTGAATCATCTAGGCTACATGTTAGGGCTCTCAATACTCAGTTTGCAAGGTATAAAATTGATCATTCAATTCCAAAAGCCTTTTCTGGTGAAGCACTGATATAACTTATAACACTGAGTTCACCTCCTAATTTTAGTACATAAAGTTCTAATTAATCATTTGGGTGAAAGAGCCATGCCTTTATCTTCACTTTAGTCCTTCATCTAGCTATATATGTCCCTACAATATAATATTCTAGTTTTTTTCATTTCTACTACGTCTACAACTTAGAAATTTGTTTTGTTTTTTCTCATTTGGAACTGTTATAAAATAAATAGTTAAACACTGTATAAATAGATATGCCTGGTGTTTTATCTTCTGTTTCTTTATTAGCACATTCTTAATGTATGAGGCAATAAGCTTTTTCCTTTCTCTACTTAGCACTTTTTTGTTCTAAGCAGCTGGGTGAAAAAACAATTACAGAACCACCCCGATGAGCTCTGGGAAGATGGCGCCCAAGACTATTTAACCCATGCTTCATCCATCATGGTACATTTTTGGTACACTGTAAATCTTTCATATATACCTTAGTATATGCTTTAGTGATTTCACTTTTTGGAATTATGAGTTCCGTGTTTTTGGTGCATAAGATTTGTTGGGTAGGGGTAGTTGTCTATGCCCGAAAGTCTACTACTACTTGGCTTTTATGTAATTTTAGATGTGTTCAATGTTAGAACCCTCTCATGGTAATAAACAATTATGTGCTTTGCTAAATTAGATAACATGAAGGTGCGTTACTATAATTCCAAAGATATATGCTTCAAGGTAATGTAGTTTCTGGGATTTTGTATGCTAATGTAGTGTATTGCAGGAGAAATTCAATGATGTTGTAAACTGGCTTAATACAAATGAGGCCAAAGCAGAAACTACGACCTTTCTTGGATTTCAGTCAGCTTCTAAGACACAGGCTTCTGAAGATAAAGAAAACAATAGTACATCCCTACTTGGATTCCATAGAGCTCCAAATCCAGTTGCTTCAGAAAATTATGAAGCAAACAACACTACATCAATTCTTGGTAAACGACCTCATGTTCCTGAAGCTAATGCATCTTTGAGTTTTGGCACTTCTTGGAAATCTGGAGCAATTTTTAACAAAAAAACTGTAGAAAGAAAAAGAAAGAAGAGAACATAAATGGAGAATAATATAGTTTTAATTCGCTTCACTTCACTACCCATACAATGACAAGGGGGGACTATTTATAGGATGAGTTCTCTTCATCATAAGATGTAACACTTCATCTTCTTAGCCTTTCATATTTCTAGATAATTATGAATCTCTAGAAGTTCCAAAAGACTTTTCATATTTTCAGGTTATTAGATGAAACTTACGGAGCATCTCAAAAGATTTTTTCGTTTTATGTATTTTTTGTTTCATGCAAATTTAATTTAATTAGGAAATATCCAACTATCTGCGCTTCTTTGTTATGGAGCAGCAGTCGGTCCATGCAATTTTGGACGCGATTTTCACTATGGGTCATCCGGAAACCGTCTCTCCCTGCTTTAGTACAGGGGTAAGACTGCGTACATCCGACCCCCTTACCCCACCGTAGGTGGGAGCCTTTGTGGCACTGGTGTAAATGAAAATGAAAGGAAATATCCAACTATGTCTCCCTCAAATTAGTTTGCTTCTTATTCCGAAACAGTCTGCATCTTTTTTGAGGACCTGTCCGCCAGTGGCTTTGTGAAAATTACAGCTATTTTATCTCTATTCTCGCAATACTCCCCTTGAATCTCTCCTTCATTTGCATGTTCTCCCAAGAAATGATATCAGATGCAAATGTATTTTGTCCCTCATGAAGAACTGGATCCTTCGAAACTGAAAATGTTGATGGTTGTCACAAAACAATGTGATTGATTTGTTCTACTTCTGCTTTAGACTTTCCAAAATTCCATGTAACCAAAGTTACCAAACTAGTTGACATCCCGCATAAGAAGCAACTATGTATTCAACTTCCGTATGAGAAAGTATCATAACCAATTCTTTCTTTGAGCTCCATGAGATTGCAAGCGCTAGGTCAGAAAAGCGATAACTCAAAATTGACTTTATGCATTCGATACCAAGATGAAATACATATCTTGAAGTGCTTTTGTTATCATCAATACTCCCTACTAGGTCACTATTAGTAATATGATTGGAACATCTGGCTCATAAAGAATTCCATGATCAACCGTTCCTTTAATGTATCTCAAGATTCTCTTAACAGGCTCCCTTTTCAATTTATCCCTTTTCAACTATTTCCCAGTCTTCTTGAGATCCAAGGAGAGTCTTCATTTGGATACTCCAATATGCATAATTTTCTTAATTTAATTGAGGGTTAAAAGAAAGAGGAGTAGAGTTGTTGATATTGATCGAGAATAATTTAGAAGGGAAACACGAATAGAGAACAATTTAGTTTTATTCACTTCACTTCACCTCACCACCCATACAATGAGAAGGGGTGGACTGTTTATAGGATGAGTTCTTTTCGTTACAAGATGTAACCCTTCATCTTCTTAACCTTTCATATTCCTATATTTCATATTCCGAGATGATTATAAATCTAAAAGTTGCACAAGGATTTTATATTTTTGGGTTATTAAATGGATCTAGAAATTTAAAAAGTATCTCAAAAGACTTTCTTTTATTTCTTTTTTGTTTCATGCAAGTTTAATTTAATCAATGTTCTAAAAGGCGTTAGTCGGGCGCCTGCCTAGCGCCTAGGTGGGGCCTAGGGCGATTTTTAGAACAATGAATTTAACTAGGAAAGATCTCACAAAAACTCCTTTTTCATTTGGTGGCTATTTTTTGTGCTGATCCATAGTGTATATTGTTTCAGTCTTTTAGATTGATGTCAACTTTGAAGGTCACACATTAATTCCTACTTTGTTAACAAATGATTCTGGTTTTTGATTTCAGATTGTGTTTCTAATAAGAGTGTGTTTATTTTAGTACTGGACACAATTATCTTTACATGCCTTCAACTTTGAAGGTGTAAACAGGTTAAGGGTTATAGTCTATAAAGTCCATCATAAACCGTGACTCCTGTTGTTTTTAAATGCTTCGACTATGTCACTTCCAGGACTTCAGAGTACAGTGATGCGACCTCAAAATGCAGTCACTGCAAATGAAACTTCAAATGATGGAGATGGTGGTAGGTATCAATGCTTTTCTTTCAATTTCAATACAACAACATCCAAGCCTTAGTCCCAAAAGATTTTGTGGTCGGCTAACATGAATCGATACATGATATCGTAACAAAAAAGAAAGATAACAAATATAAGCTATGATAAAAAGGATAATATAAAAAGAGATGGATATACATAAAAATGATAGAATAAAAAGGATAAAAAGAATATGCACACACACTAGGGCTGTTAACGAGCCGAGCCGAGCCCGAACACCCAAAGCTCAAGTTCGGCTCGATAAGGAATTAGTGGTGTTCGGGTTCGAGCTCAGAGCTCGGCGAGCTTTACAAATGAGACTCGTGTTCGACTCGATAGGCGTTCGATGTTCGAATCGAGTGTTCGATAAGCTTGATAAATATGTTCGAATTTAAAATTTTAGGTGATGCTCATTAATAGGCTCGTGCTCGAATGATTCGACAAGTATTCGGTTCCTTATTAATCATATTTAAATTCATAAAGTCATACTAATTATATTTAAATTTTGACATATATATAGATTATATTTATAATTTCAGGGTGTTCAATAAGCTTGAGTTCGAACCGAGCCGAATACTACTATGTTCGAGCTCAGCTCAATTAATTTTTTGAACATAAAACTCAGCTCGGGTTCGAGTTCGAAAGCTCGTTAAGCTCGGCTCGTTAGGTTCGAAACCGAGCTCGAACTCAAATAGTTCGATAAAAGCTCGGTTCGTTAACAACCCTGACACACACGCATATAAATAAAAAAGGATTAAAAAATACAAGAAGCAAAAAGAAGATGAGGGGGAAAAGATGATAAGAGAATAAGAGATCACTCCTCCACACGAATACTGACCCTCCACTTTGTTCTCTCCCAAGCCATACCCTCATCCAACTCAAGAAGAAACATATCACTTCTGACTCCTCTAATCCAAGTCTGTTTGGGTTTTCTTCTCCCTCTCTTTCATGCCTCTTCTCCACACATCTCAACTTGTCTAACAGGTGCATCACACATTCCTCATGCAGTCCTTTCTTGTATGTCCACACAGGCACACATCTGCCACATTCATGTTTTGAATGTGACATTGTTTCATCGTCCAACACTCTACGCCTAATTGGTGTCCTATAAAATTTACCCTTCAGTCTTGTCGGCATACCTCTATCGCATAAAAAGCCTGAGTAATTCACTTTGTTCTGAATTATGGAGCCCAAATAACGAAACATATCATTGACCGGTATCTCCTTACCATCTAGAGTAATTCCGCTATTACCACTGCTTCTACATCCACCAAACTTGCACTTCATGTACTCTGTCTATCTCTGACTCAGTCTGAAACCCTTGCTCTCCAATGTTTGTTGCCATACTTTCAACTTTGCTTTAACACCGAATTGTGTCTCATCAATCAATACAATATTGTCCACAAACATCATGCACCACGGTATATTCGTCTTGAATTGACATTGTAAGTTCATCCATGACTATGACAAATAAGAAAGGGCTCAAAGCCGATCCTTGGTGTACTCCGAGAGTAATAGGGAACTCTGCAGTCCTTCTTACATTAGTACAGACACTTGTAGTACTATCCTCATACATATCCATGATGGTGGTGATATACTTGCGTGATAAGCCTTTTCTAGTTAAGGCCCACCAAAGAACTTCTTGAGGTACCCTATACTTCTCCACAAGTTTCCGTAGAAGGTGAATGACCTCAGTTGTTTAGCGACCGGGCATAAAACCGAATTGATTCTCTGAATCATTCACACTTCTTCGGAGTCTTTGCTCAATCACTCGCTCCCAAAGTTTCATGGCGTGACTCATGAGCTTAATCCCTCGATAGTTGGCACATTCTTGTACGTCACTCTTATTCTTAAATAATAAGGGTACACTTCCGCCAACTCGCTCGCACTTTGTTGTTTCTCCAAATCTTTCAATTTCAGTATCAACTATTTATTTATTTGAGATTCTTACTTCAACAACTATCTGCCGTTATGATACTGTTGTGTTCCCGGGCTAGAGGTTGCGTTAATCTGCGGTCGGTAATAATGTTCATAAGGGAAGGCAGAGAAGGAGATAAAACTTGAGGAATTTTATGGAGTTCCTTTCTCCTTGATAAGTACTTAATTCTGGCTTGTTCATTACTCGAAGCAGGAGTCCTTACTTATAATAAGGGTTACAAGAACCAGTAAGGAAGGAGAAGATTACATTAAATCAATTCTTAAAATAGACTCATCTAATGATGGAAAGCAATAAAGTTGCAAATCAACTTAACTAAGGAAATTAACTAGTCTAATGTAGGAAAGCAATCAAACAATAACTCAGAAATCTGCTGTAAAGGAAATTAATATTCTTCCATAATGAACTACTTAATCAGCTAAGGATCTGCCACTGATGTTGCAACATCGATAGGTCTCTCCGTAGAATGCATCATCATTCCCCTTTGGGACATCAAACTTTTCCTCAAGCTTGAAAGATGGGAACTGATGTTTAAAACCGTGTAGTGGTTCACAAGTAGCCTCTTACAAAGGAAAGCCTTCTCAAGCAACTAAAACTTCAGGGGAGCCTCGCTTTGATCTGTTGCGCACAACAGCTTCAGGTTGAAGGAGCAGCCGACCTTCTGTGATTGGGGGTGGTGGTGGGGCATGATCAGGTGGACTACCCACAAACGCTTTCAGTTTTGAAACATGAAAAACGTCATGAATGCGACAGTCGACATGCAACTCAATCTTAGCAACTGGTCCAACCTTGTGCTAAACTTTACAGGTCCATACCATTTGGGAGATAACTTGTGAAACCGCTGGCGAGTTAATGACTGCTGGTGGTAGTGTTAAAGACGTACCCACACCCACTGGTTGGGTTCATAATTGACCTCATGATGGTGGTTATCATACTAATCCCTCATTCAGGTTTGAGCTTGCTGGAGATGATGTCGAGCACCATGAGGACTTCGTCCAGAGATTTGAGCAATTCATCCACCATAGCTACCCTAGAAATCCCTGGTTCAAATGGTAAGAGGCGAGGTGGTCACGACCATAGACCAACTTGAAGGGAGTAGTGCGCAGGGAGGAATGAAATGAAGTATTATAGCAATACTCAGCCCATGGTAAGTTGTCCACCCAACGCCTTGGATGATCGCCAACTAGACAACACAAGTACATTTCTATAGTGCGATTTACAACCTCTGTTTGGCCATCCGACTGAGTGTGTAAGCAGTGGAAAATGAGAGTTTGGTACCACATAATCGGAAGAGTTCACGCCAAAAGGAACCTGTGAAGGTTGCGTCATAGTCACTGACAATGGTCTCTGGAATGTCATGCAATTTGACAATGTTGGTGTAGAAGACCATGGCTACGGAGGCTGCTGTATATGGATGAGCTAGAGGAATGAAGTGTGCATATTTAGACAGACGATCAACCACCACCAAGAGGACTGATTTTCCATGAACCTTGGGAAGACCCTCATCAAAATCCGTAGAGATGTCTGCCCAAATTTGTTGCGGGATAGAAAGAAGAAGGCCTGTAGGATTGGCATTTTCCCACTTATTTCTTTGGCAAACAGCACATTATGCGATAAATTCTCTTACTGAGGCTGCAAGTTTGGACCAAAAAAATTCTCGGTGAAGGCAATGAATGGTTTTCTGCACTCCTTTATGAGTAGAGTTGTGTAACTCCGCCGATATAACTTGGATGAATTTTGAGGAAGGTAGCAGAAATAATTTGTTCCTCGTGAATAACAGGCCATCACGCAAGGAGTACAAACCATCTCTTTCAGCCAGCTGCAACCAAGCTAGTACATCAGGTGAAGTGCGAAGTTCATCCCTCAGTTCTTATAATAAGGCAGGATGAGGATTGGAGATTGCAAAGATGCAGTGATGATCTTCGTCTCTTTGGAAAGTGCATCAGCTACCATGTTAAGTTTTCTTGGCTTATATTCCACAACAAAGTCAAAGCCAGGAAGCTTACTCATCCAATGTTGTTGAGGGGAAGAGGTAAGGCGTTGCTGCAGCAAATACTTGAGTCTACAATCATATGTTTTAATCACAAAGGAGCGCCCCCATAGGTAGTGGCTCCAATGTCGCACAACCTAAGATAACCCAATTAATTCTCGCTCACATGCTGGAAGTTTGAGATGATGATCTGTCAATGTCCTACTAAAATATGCAATGGGGTGTACTAAAATATGCAATGGGGTGACCTTCCTGGTCCAGCACTGCGCCGATTCCAATGCCCGAGGCATCACATTCAATGACAAAAGGAATAGAAAAGTTGGGAAGTTGTAGAACCGGGGCAGATGATAGTGCTGTTTTCCGGGCATTGAAAGCATCGTCTGCTTGCTCATTCCATTGGAATGCATTGCGACGTAGGAGGTTGGTCAATGGTGTGGCAATGATGCCATAATCTTTATGATAGAGACACTGGGAGGCAGTCACCTAAAAGTAATAATAATATTAGCTACTATAGTAAAGTGTATTCTAGGAGAAGGAAGGGGAATATTAAATAGTTGTTGTAGTGTATAAGGGGACGGCTGGGATATTATAAATAGATAGCTAATGTGTAAAATGGGCAGACGTGTATTTGGTAGTTAAACTGGGACTGGAGAGTTGACACTCTTCAACTGTCAAGACACTTTCTCATTTCTGCTAATCAACCCACCTTCTTGAAACTGTTACCCTATTTTGTTCCTATTCTTCTTCTTGAATTACACTGTAATTAGCTAGTTACCTATCATTGGTATCAGAGCATCGTTCTTGTTACCTATTCATGGTCGCCACCAGAGGAACGATGGAAGCAAGGCTGGAAAACTTGGAACGCGAGCGGGAGAAGAGTTGCGAAGAGGCAAGGTGCGATCTCGAAGAGTTGCGCGAGTTAATCATGCAAAGAAATGATCGACACTTGCGCGGTAGATCAAAAACGACCAAAAGAAATTCGAGAAATGACAGTCGCGATTCATCATCCTCTGAAGGTAATCATCGCTCTTTATCTTCTAGGCGTGAGGAGGATTATAATAAGT